TCTTGCCAACAAAATGTTTGTTGTTTGGGGCAGAGAGCTGCCCGTACTGCTTTGCAGATGGGGCACGGGGCCTTCAAAGCCTTCTCGCGCCAGTTTGGTTGCAGCGGCACTTGCGCTGCGGCAGAGGGCGGGACAGCAGTCGAGAGACACCACAAGAATGGGAGAAGAGAGAGGAGGGAGGTGAGAGCTGTTTTGGAGTCCTTTGGTCCAATTTTCGACATTTGGTTCGTTGCTTTGGCACAGGTGGAGGCCGACGAGAAGGCAGCTGCGGCGCTGCGACGCTGCGACGCGCTTCCCCTGCGACCCCTTTGTCTTTGTTGTTTTGCTGCTGCTGAAATACGGGAACCAGGAGAAAGCGCCGCATGTAGCTTTTTGATAAATGTGTGAGATGCACCATTCACTGCGCTTGGTGGTCTTGGAGGCTCTATCCGAGCTCACGGCCCGATGCCTGGATTTTGCTTAGTGGCTTAATGTTGGTTTTTTGGTTATTTTTGAAAAGGGTTGCAGTTGCATCAATCAGTGACATGTTTCATGGGCCAAAGTTAATCGTCCTGCATGTTCTCTTGCTTGGAGGGTTTCATGAAGATCTTTGCCAAAAGTCGCGAGCTGAAGCTCGGCTCGTCGAAGGCCTCCTTTTGCGAGCTTTGTCTTGCCTGCCGAGCACAATCGTGCAACAATCGTGTACACCCAAAGATCACAAGCTCCCACGTGATGGGTCTATAGTTTGCACTCTTTGCAAAAAAAAACCAGCGGATGTGCAATGCGTGCAATGTAGAACACGTCGAGCAGAGGCCGCCTGGGAGCAGCTCCGGGCCCTGCTGGAGGCTCTCGAGGAGGAGAGCCCCCCGCTTTTGTCGAACACACGCTTTTTTACGAAGAGCGAGAGGAAGAGAGCGAGAGAGAGAGAGTGAGAGTCAGAGAGCGAGTCGCAGAGTGAGGTAGAGGTAGGTAGGTATTAGAGACGGAGAGAACAGGCAGAAGGTTCAGAGAAGGCGCGCGCGTTTTCTGCCTTTTGCTCTTCTTCGAGGCTCCCATGGGCCTTGGGCTTAGCGGGAGTTTGTCTGTCTTGCGATCGTATGAAATCTTCAGTTCGCTTCAGAGTTGCTTGTTGCAGCGGCTGGCGCCGAGCGGGGGCCGAGCGGGGGCTCCGAGGTGACAGCTACAGCTATAGCGATGCTTGAGAAAGCGTCCCTTTAGTGATGCCAAAGCCAAGGAAAAAAAAGCAAAAAGAGTTTGTCCGAGAGAGTGCTTCTCTGAGTGCTGTTGTGCCGTATTGGCCCTCTCTTCCAACAGAAGAACACAGAACAGAATGTCTGGGAGCCTTCTCGCTTGCGTTGCACCTGCTTTTTGCGTCTTCTCAGGGATTAGGGGCCCGGGGTGTGGGAGCGCAACAGCCGCAAAAGCATCAGCTGCCTTCAAAAAAAGGGGCATATCCGTCGGGGCGAGTTGCAGCCATGGTGCAGTCTCGTCCGGAGCTGAGAAGAGGGATGCCAATGCTGCCAATGCTCCATTGTGCGCCATGCTCCCACACCTTTGAGAAGAAGTGGAGCTCTCCCCCCGATCACAGGGCTTGTTGCCTCCTTTGGAGGAGCTCTTTTGCCCCGCTGCCATTTTTGCGGCGCCCCGTCGCCGAGGTGAGATGCGAAGGATGAGGCGCGTATGAAGCGGGGGGGTTTCGAGAATGGCGCGTTTTTCTTTTTGTTCTTTCTTTCTTTTCTTTCTTTTCTTTCTTGAGATCCTTTTCTTTTGACTGAGCTCTCGAACGCGCTGCACAGGTTCGGGGCGGCCCTTGCAGCTTTCGCATTGCTCAAGCTGTCCCAACCTCGGCTCATGCGCTGTCCCTTCTCTTGGTTCGACCCGTTCTTTTCGCTCTTGTCGGATCTCATTCGCTGTCTGGCTGCATTTTGGCCTTCATCTCTCGTTGCTCTCTCTTCTCTCTCTTTTGCTCTCTCATTCCCTTTTCGGCACGGTGGGCCCCGGTGGGCCCCGGCCAGTGGGCTCCCCGGCGAAGCCTTAAAGGTGGGGTCTGAGTTGGAGTCATCTTCAGTCTTTCCTTCACCCTGTTCGCAAAAAAAGAGAGTGCGTATCAGAGAGTTCTCTTGCCAGACTGGTGAGTTGTGCACGATGCCTGTGCAGACGCTGTGGTTTCATGCTGTTTGATGCTATTTGATTCTGTGCTTTTTCAGGTCTTTCGTGGGTGCCCCGGCCACAGAAACACGGGGCTCTGGGAGCTCCGTGGCCCGTCGGGGAGAAGGCGTAGCAATCGTGACATCTCTTGTTGCACGCCACTTCGCGGTTGTCTTTTCTGTGGTGCGCCATCACGACCTGTGCAGGTTTGTGTTTGAACAAAAACAGGGGTTGCCTTTTCCTAAAGCTTAAGGGTGCAGGGCGAGAATGTGTGGATGTCTTGGCAGTCTTGGAGAGTGCAAACACGAGTAGATGCTTCTGACGGGGCGGCGCTCTTGAGATGGCAGAGGGGCACCCTGGGCGGCACCCTGCCCATCCGTGCGGGGGGGGGGGGCGATTTCCAGACACTCCCGGGAGGGGACAGGTGTACAGGTGTGAGGGGAAGGGGTTATCCCCCCGAATTGAGAAGATACTTCCGCGCCACCTGTAGGCAGAGCGGGCCAAAAGAGAAAGCGGGGATGGGTTTGGGGATGGGGGGGAGAGCACACTGTTAAAGAGCCCACGGGGAGAGCACACGATGACCTTCGCGAGGCTTCGCCGGCGATGCGCCGAGCCCAAAGGCCGGGGGCCACTGTCTTCAAAAACGTGCAAGAGAGGGAAAGAGAAAAGAGAGGGAGAGAGAGAAAGAAGAGAGAGAGAGAGCTCGGCCTTTCTTTGTTTTCCAACCTTTATCCTCTCTCTACTCTCTCCACCTTTCTCTTCAGAGGTCCACCCTCTCTCATACCATACAAAGCTTTCTATGCTCTCCACGCATGCTCTCCCTCTCTATACATATATATGCTTTGCAAGGCTCTCTATCTCTCTCTGTTGTGCAAGAAAGTCTGGTTTTCCCACTTGTCTTACTCAGAAAATATTCTTCATCCCCCAAAGCCATAGTCCCAGTAGTATAGGTAGTGGAAGAAAGTCAAATGAAGGGACAGATAATAACTCAGATATGGATAATATAAATAGTGAAGTGGGAAACATAATCCCCCACCCCGGTAGTTGGGGTTCAGGGCTTGTTGGGTGTTTCTTTGGGGAGTTGGTTTCTGCAGGGAAGGGGCGTGAGGGGTGGTGAGGCCTGCGAACCTGTCAGGGGCCCTTGTGCAGTGCTGGGGACGTCAATCCTGACACCTCGCTCTTCAGTCGCGTGAGAACCCGGACTGAACATGGTGAAGAAGGCCTGTCACCGCACAGAATCACACACAAACAGTCCCAAACACATGTCGGCCGACACGCGCCACTGCTCTTCACGTCAAGGCAGCTCAAAAAATCTCGGAAACAAAGACAGCAAAGACAACCGGGGCCGTTCGGTCCTTGAACTTTTGCATGCCCTGCGCGTCCGTCCCGTCCCGTCCCTCCTGTGCGCACTAAACATGCCACACACACACACACACACACACACACACACACACACACACACACACACACACACACACACACACACACACACACACACACACACACACACACACACACACACACACACCACACACACACACACACACACACACACACACACACACACACACACACACACACACACACACACACACACACACACACACACACACCACACACACACACCCACACACACACACACACACACACACCACACACACAACACACACACACACACACACACACACACACACACACACACACACACACACACACACACACACACACACACACACACACACACACACACACACACACACACACACACACACACACACACACACACACACACACACACACACACACACCACACACACACACACACACACCACACACACACACACACACACACACACACACACACACACACACACACACACACACACACACACACACACACACACACACACACACACACACACACTTCTGCGTGCGTCCACAGCCTGAATCTAAAATATGTTTATATCTGGATCAAGGTCTGTACTCAGCTACATAGGCTGAGTGTAATTCTCAATCCAGCACATGACCCTTCATGAGGATGTTCATGTGAAATGCTGAAACAAGTATGATGCACAGCCGCCTAACCGTCACACACAACTGAACCTTGTGACAGCACAGCAAGTACGTCCAGCTGGCCAAGCTGGATATCCTGGTCCTTTTGTGTGGAACTTCGTTGGTGGTAGCAGCACAAGGACCCTCCCCCCTGCTGGAGAACGCACGTCGCATGTCCCATGGGCGACGTTCTAAGTGGTGACAGAGTGTCACACACACAACAAGCCCAGAAGGCACACATTTTCACGTCAAAATGACGTTAGGTGAATTTAATTTTAACGCTACGCGACCCGCCTCGGCCCGGCCCAGCGCATCCGCGTGAGCATGGTGATTCCGCAGCGCCCAAGTCGCTGGACCCCAAGCAATAAGGGTTGGGTTTAAATTTAGGGTTTAGGGTTCCGGGTTTATGGTTTATGGTTTGGGATTTAGGGTTGAGGGTTAGTTTAGGATTGAGGGCTTAGGGCTCAAGGTTCACGCTTTGGGGTTGAGGGTTTTTTTGGGTTTAGGGTTCGGCTTGGATTGATCGTAGGGTTCTTCAGGGGGGGTATATAGGGGGGAAGGGGGGCAGAGGGGAAGGGGGGAGGGGGGGGGGCAGGGGAGGGGGGGGGTTGTTGAAGGTTTGAGGGTTGAGTGCTTGGGGCTTAAGGTTTGAGGTTTAAGGTTTAAGGTTTAAAATGAGGTTCAAGCTTAGACTCTTCGGCTCGTGGAATGCATCTCGGCCCTGCTCATATTGGGGGGGGCGAAGGGGGGGGTAAGGGGGCCTGGAAAGCTGGCATGGCCCCTGCAGCAAGGATGACACACACAAATGAAACAGAGTCACAGGGTTACCGGGGTTGAGGGCTTCGGCCTGATCCCAGTAGGGTTTCCCTTAGGTGCCTCTTGTTCGGGGTTTTGGGGGTGTGTCTCTTGGGGTTTGGGGTTCCCGAGCTTAGGCTGGTACTCCTCTTTTGGCCCCTACCTTCTCCCTGATTCCTCTAAGTTCGGTTCTCTTTTGAGGTTGTTCTTTTGGTTTCCTGGGGTTATGAGCCCAAGTGTCGTGGTTCTGTGTGGTTAGTTTATTCAGGGCTTTAGGAAAGATCCATGGATCCTGCGTCTTCGCTCTTGTTGGAAGCTTCCTCTGGTACAGATGAGGCTCCGATGGAGGAGCATGGAGGAGATGCGGTTGACGAGCTTTTTGCTCAGGCGCTGGGATCCGCACTTGCTGCGGGAGGTGGGGGGCCTGGTGCTGAGGAGAGCAACAGTGGTTTATCTGGTGGTGGCAGCGGTGCAAGCAATGTTGCAAGTCCTGCGACTACCGGGCAAAACAATGGTGGGTCTGGTACAGTTTCTGGGCCTACAATATCATCGTCTCAGGTGGATGGGAATGGTGATACCCCTACGACAGTTGCTCCTGGTACAACAGCT